AAAAATAGGGGACATACTACCCACTTATATATTTTATATCAAACACCTATTTTTTTTTTTCATATTTATACCACCCAAGAAATTCATGTCATAAAAAATTCTACTATTTCAACTTTTAAAAATTGAAATACATGTTTTCATGCATAAGTGACTTAAATACATAAGAATTGAGTGGTATGTATGTAAATTTTCATAAAGATAAAGAAAATTTACTTACATATTACATAATTATTTTATATTTACATATCTAATATTTAAACTTTACATATTTACTTTTCTAACATTCTCTTACTTTTAGATGCATGTTATTTTATCTAGCTTTCTCTTTTGACATGTATGTGGGGTTGTTCAAAAACTTCGTCATTCATGAGTAGCTCGTGTTCGGCTCATTAAGTAGCTCTTGTTCGATTCATTCGTTAAATGAGTGAGTTGAACATATAATTTTTTTGAACTCGATTTATAAGCAAACCAAACACGAATAAAAGCTTGTTCGTTCGCGCTCAACTTGCTTTGACTCGAAATAACTAAATAATTAAATAATAATATTTATTTATATCATTTTTATATTACTTTTTTAGATGTGTTAAGAAAAGCTATATTTAATTATTTATCAAGATTATTTTAGTGTTATAATTATAAAAAATATAAGTTTCATTGTTAGACTTACATACGTAAATACATAATATTTGGATGTATGTATGCAAATGTCTCTAAAAATAAAAAATTAAATCAAGTGTAGGATTTGGTTGTTATGTACCTAAATATCCATAAAAATAAAAAAAAAGTTAAATTAGCTAACCTTAAACATCCTCAACTTCGCACACTTGGACATTTAAATGCATAGAATTTGGGTGATATGCATGTAAAAGTTTCTAAAAAAAAATTAATTTTGCCTCCAATAACAGCACAACAGGAATGCAGTGATGAGATGAAGCATTTTTAAGGGTATGTTTGGGGCAGCTACAGCTTATTAACTAAGGGCCCGTAAACTTTGTCGTACTATTTGTTTCGCGTGTTTTACTAGCTTACCCAAAAACAAAGTTTTGTATTTGTGAAGCATGCCACCCACAGGAGGATCACTGTGGTTCACGTTTCGTTCGCATCCTATTACTCCGCTGTCTGATACATCTAAAATATATAGTGTTTTTAGACATAATTTATATCTATTTTTGAGATATTGCGTTTTAATGAAATGTATTTTTGTGTTTTTCTTTCAGGTACAGTTAAAAAAGTGAAAAATACTTAAAGGAGTGAAAAAATATCAAATTTGGAGCAAATATGTGAAAAATGAGTGTTTTGGCACCTAGATCAATATCGACGCTGGAGTTTGGCAGATTGTTGGCCCATCGAAAGAAAACACACTTCTCCATGACACTCCGTAGAAAAATGTAGAACTTTCTACTGTAACTGTATGTCTGACGTGACGTTAGTAAAAAGTTTGTAGTCTACAGTGACAAAACACATGCCAAGAGGTCTCTGAAATCCTATGGCTCATGTTCCTTGAAGATGAAGGAGAGAGAACATTAGTCAACTCTGAAAATTAAACTAAAGAAAAAAATGTAAGAAAATGAAAATTATCGAAAAGAGTATTGAATAAAAAAACATAAATTGAAAAAATATATATATAGGTGTGAGATCTTAGATAACTAAATACACCAACTAACGAGTCTGTCATTACATGAAGAAAGTGGACCTTATAAAAAAATGGGTTCTTGGTTGCCTTTAACCAATGTTAAACCAACATTCTGTGTCACATATGCATATCACTAAAAAAGGTCATCCAATAAATCCTCAAAAATCGATGCACCAAAAAGAAGAGAGGATATCAGATGTCTTCATAAGAATTTCACATGCTACACTAACGGAAAACCAACGTCCTGTGTCACATGTTCATAACACCAAAAAAGGCAATCTAGTAGGTCCTCATAAACGATGCATCAAAAAAAAAAAAGAAAGGATCTAAGTTGTCTTCATTAAGATTTTACATGTAACAACGACGAACCGGTCATCCAGAAAAATCTATAAGGTCGTATGTCCGATCATGAAGCTCACGAACCCACAAAAAATATAAAAAACTAAATAGTAACTGCTCCATACAGAAATAACTACATGGAGACATATTATTATTCACAACAATGAAGGGAAAAAAATCAAAACAAATAAACAGTAGGAAAAATCTAAGTCATCAAACAATGTCATCATAGAATATTTTTTCCATAGATAAACATAAATATTGGACACGAAACTCGGAACATAGCTTAATGAATATCTGCCTACGGGTCGGGTTCTCGAGTAACTTAACGAAGTTTAGATAGAATGTCGTATCATCCAAAAGTTTAGGATGTGCATCCAAAATTCCAAGAAAGTCATACATGGTGGCTTCATTTGAAGAGCCAAGCTGAGCTGCACATACTTATATCAGCTTATCTATTAAGCTTATGACGAAAACGTCTTTTTCATTTTCCTTTTTCAACACCTTGAACCGTTTTGTTTGACATGTAGACTTGAGCTCCCTCAAGTTTATGCTCGGGACTTCACCTGACACAGTAACCTGCTCGGTTGCCAAATCATCTAGTATGCCTACTAACCCCTGCTCACTTGGGTTGAATGCATGCATACCCATAGTGACAACCCCCCTAAACATGAGGTCTAACTTCTCTTCCAGGTCCGACTCAATTCCACTCACCTTGAATTTCTTTGAGGCTAGCACTGCCTGCAACGTTCGGGGAAGCAATTTGTTAAAACGAAATAACATGGATAACGAAGGGAAATACAAGCATTTAGAGGTATACTTATTACCTGTAACTTCTCAGTCCACCGTTCCTCTTAAGTATCAATGGTCCGCTTGATAGAATCCCAACCCAATCTCATGGATCCCTGTTTCAGTTCCTTCCATAAATCACAATAATTTTTTGACAGATCTCACTTGTTCTTAAATTTTAACATATCATACTCCCTTTCTGTCATTTCCTGAAATCTCTTCACAACATTCTGTCACCCTTCCTTGTTAAAGTACGTGGTGGGTATATTTTTAAACTCAATCCCCTTAAAACATAGGTTGCAAAATATGTTTGTTATTTCCTTATCTCACATTGCTGACGACACCACTTCTTTAGTCTTAACCATAATGGAACTAATAAATGAAAATGATAAAAAATACACTGATAATGACAATAAAACAAAGAACACAAAAAAAGAAAGCGCCAAGCAAAACAAGCACCTAACCTAACAAAGGTAAAAGCTAAAGCATGTAAACACGGGAAAAAAAATTTGTAAAACCAACCTACAGTGGAGAGAGGCACACACACCCCATTCCTGCCACTATCACCAACACCCAAGCACCGACACCACACACCCAACAGTTGAGAGAGGCACACACGTCCCAATCCAACCATTATCACCAACACTAACCACCCATTTTATAGAGAGAAGCACACACACCCCAGTCAAGCCACTTTCACCAACACCCAAACATAAACTCCACACACCTAATAGTAGAGAGATGCATACACACCCCAGTCTAGCCACCATCACCAACACCCAAGCACCATCATCAAACACCCACTTTATAGAGTGAGGCACACACACCTCAGTCCAACCATTATCACCAACACCCAATCACCTTCACCAGTCTTTAAGGGGCATTTATATACACACACCCTGAAGGAATTCTGTTAAGTATTACTATGTACTTTTTTCCTATTTTAAACATATTCGCATGCAGACCACCAAATTGAATGCATAGTACTCAAACCACAACAAACCGCCACATGCATAATACTCAAACCACAACAACCGAAAGTCACGTCTCAACAACGCCACCCCTACCAATACATAAAACAAAAACAACAGAAGAAACTAACATCTCATCCTCTGCATCTAAAAATAATGAAACAAACGAACAACAGCCAAAACAACCATCACCAACAATCATTAGCCTCACATATTACGAATAGAACATAAATCAAATGCACGAAATAGCCAGATACAAACAAAATTTTGCAACTCTAAGAAAAATAAACAACCAAACTCACAAAGGTAGGAGATGTGGGTTTAAGATATAGAGAATATCGTAGGAAGAAGCACAAAAGTCTCGAAATAATGGGAGAGAGGGAATGTTAGAGCAGTAGAAAGCGAGAGCGAGTCGGCTAGGGAAAGCTCCGAGATTGGAAGAAATGCGGGAGCGCTTCATGGGACAATTAGGGCAGAAGAGGAGAAAGCAAAGTCGAAAGACAAGGGCAACTTTGACAAATAAAAAGAAGAAACGATGGGACAATTAGGGCAGAAGAGGATAAAACAAAGTCGAAAGACAAGGGACAAGGGCAACTTTGACAAATAAAAAGAAGAAACGCGGGTCGAGGGGATAAGCCCGCGTAACCCCGCGACCCGCGTTTCAATAAAAACGCTCCCACATCTGAGCAAATGACGAAACAAACGAGCATTAACCATGGTTTGGGGATGTGCTGCAGCTAAACCGTGCCCCCAAATGACCTCATCCCACATCGAGACATGGTTATAATATAGTTGTGAGAAAAATTATTTATATGTAAATATTGGGGTTTTTTGAAAACAAATCGAGCGGTAAGAAATTTAAATATTCAAACTAATGCTCAGTAAAAAATAATTATATTTTTTATTAATAAAAAGTTGATTAATTATCTTATGAGTTTGAATAGAACTAATTCTAACATTTGCTTATTTCAAATAGAAATAATTTCAAACAAGTCGAACACGAATAAAAGTTCAATTTTCTCATGTTTGACTCATTTACATCCCACATGTGAGTAATAGTAATAAATTTTAATACCATGCAAGAGATTTGTACCTAATTATAAGAAATTAAAATTTAAGTGTACATATATAAATATATAAAAATTTTGTTGTATATATGTAAATGTCCTACAATTTAAAATCATGCGTAATGCTTCAATTTTAAACTATGAAGCTTTTAACCGGGAGAGTAAAGTCATTTTGCTTCCCTACATATATATTGATCCAGCTGCCTACCCGTCGCTCTCTTCACTGCTAGCCCATTTTAAGCAGCCACCCTACTACTGTGTGCTGAGAACTCGAGTCCATTAGGGCTTGGGGATCTTGCTGGAAACCATGTCTTCCGGCAGGTACATGGCCTACTCCCCTTCGCCTTCAGCCCCTCACTCGCCGCATATCTCCGGCATTCGATCTGCCACAAACGCCTTTGTCGAGCAGGAAAAGTATGCTTTAATTTTGTTTCTCTTTATCTCTGGAAAACTCCACTCTTTTTAGGGTACTATTCGACGTGCCTTATTATATTTCTCTTCCTTTTGGTATGGATCTACGGAGGGGAGATCTCATGCGTAGGAGTTCCGGTCTGATGATGATGCATTGGTCTCTTTCTGTGTTAAGATTTATTGGCAGATTTAGTATCCTTGCTTTTTTCCGAGATATGTATTTGGTTGAAGATGGAGATTGATGCGCTGTTTGTCTGTATTGTGCTTGTGTTTTAGGGTTTGTTTAGGATGTATTTGCAGGCTCCGGTGACACTACAATGTGGAAACACTGTCATAGTTCTGTAGTTTGAACGGCTTTTCTCGGAACTATTTGTTATGTAATTTAGTCAATTGGAGGATCTAGAAATATATTAAGTTCTCTTTTGCTCTTTCTCCAGCGGTTACCGTTTTTATTTTACACTAGATCCGCATGTTTCCTGCGTGTTACGTGCATTGTGGAGTATTAAGCTGTCTTTACTGAGATTGGAGCAAATTTCCTAGACTAAGCCTGAACTGTTAGCTGACTAAGTTTTTAATGTGCTGGATTAACTTTCTGCTAAGTTTATCTGTGTGGCAGGTATCTTGCAGAGCTGCTGGCGGAACGACAGAAGCTTGGTCCTTTTATGCAAGTACTCCCACATAGCTATAGGTTGTTGAATCACGGTGAGCTTTGAACTTCGGGTTTGTTTATTTGAACTCATGATTGCCTTGGAGGTCTAGCATTTTTCATAACAGTGGAATCTCTATAAAAGATTGTTTAAGCACCATTATTAAGGCCACAGAAGCTCATAATAAGTAATTCCTTTGGGTTGTGTTTGATTTCTTTGTTTCGTTAATTATTCTCCACATGCCATTTGTGTGTTATTGCGAATTTGAATTGTTTCTTTACATTTCTTCAAAGCTTTGATTTATTGATAGTATCATTTACCCTCCACCAAAATACAAGAGATCATGTTACAATAGGTTAGAGAACTGTGAAGGAACAAATATTGTCAAGAGAAGTTTAATCTCAGAAAAAACTACATGACATTTCTTGTGATGGATATGATGGTATTCTGAAATGGCATCCCTATGAAAGATATAGGAAGAATACATAAATTATAGGCCTTATTATCATCATCATCATTAGACTTGGTCCAACTATTTGAGCTCGCCTTTATGATACTTTAGCATTTATTCTTGCTTAGTGCTTATGAAATGTTAATTATTGCTTAAACATTGCAACAGCTTGCCATGTTACCAAGATATATCCTTAATCATTCTCAGTAATTCTATTATAGTTCTACCTTCATTATCGCTCTATCTTTCTCCCGGTTTAGACCAAACTACTAAAGTATGCTTTTCCACCACTTTAATCAGTAGGTCTATGCTTTTCCCCTATTTTAATTAATAGTTCAACTCTTGTCATCTGTCTCAGGCAATCATTTCAGTTTAATTGAAGTTTTTTTTATACTTACCTTTAGCTCTTCATGATATTCTATTATCTAGTATTACTCTAGAGAAAATATTTCAGTCCAAGCTTAACTTTATAAACTCCATCATTTATATGTGTGTTATTTTGTATAATAGCTCTAAGGTACTTATAATTATCACACTTAAGTATCATTTGATCTTTCAATGATAATGGCTCACAATTATCAATTTTACTTTGTCTAAAATCGCATATTATGCATTTTGCCTTGCTTCTAATTTGAACACTACTTATTTTTAAACAATCTTCAAGCGTACAAACTACTCACAATTATCAATTTTACTTTGTCTAAAATCACATATTATGCATTTTGCCTTGCTTCTAATTTGAACGCTACTTATTTTTAAACAATCTTCAAGCGTACAAACTTTTCATGTGGAAGAGATTAAACCAATTTAAAGAATGTCTCCTATGACACATAAACCAATATACCTCTCTTTAAATATGTTTTTGTTAGCATCACCATAAAGATAAGGACTTCAACCTTGGTTAATTTATTGTAATTGAAAACTCTCATCAATCAATGACTGCTATTATCAATTATTGCTCTGTTACATATCTATTTTGTAAAAACATTAAGGTAAATTCAGATGTTTTTTCTCTTAAGTACCTCAAAATGAAAATATCAATTCATTTGGCCACATGCAATTTCTAAATTAGTAAATTTCATTTAAAAACCTGTTTTTCTGCTCTTTATATTTTTCTTTAATTTTATTAGCACACAATACACTCGCAATAGATTTCCTAGCATTAAATTAAATTGATTTTTTTTAATAATAATTGCTTTTCTATTCCATATTCTTTTACCCTTTCTTATAACTTTATTGCTTGTCTCATTGATTTGATTCCCTCGTAATTGCCACGATTCTCATAGTTTTTTTGCTTTTCTAATCAATATTCTTTTACCCTTATAACTTTATTACTTGTCTCATTGATTTGATTCTCTCATTACTGCCATGATTCTCATAGTTTTTATATTGGTTGCATAAAAATCATTTTGAGTCATTTGGGGCCCTCCTACCCTTCAAATTTCCTTAAAAATATTTCTTAACTTAACTACTTTAGTATCATCAATAGCTCTCCAATTCATTATATGTATCTTATGGCATACTTAATATGATTCAATTCATGTTTGCCTCCTAAAGGAATGCCATAAAATTATCACTTCATTTCTTAAAATAATATTTTTATCTTTTATTTATATCTTTCTCTTGAAAAAAATCATGTTATCTTCACTGCAAGAATCTCTTTGTTCTGCTACAAATGATTTTGACATAAAGAAAACATCCATAAATGCTCTAGCTTGGGATGTGATTACTTTATTGCATATAAATGACAAAAATGAACCATATGATATGGTTACTTTTAATTGAGCACAATTTGCTTTGTGCAAAGACTTCATATCAATTTTTTGCTGAAGCAAATTCTTATTCGTATGTCTAGTTTAATGAACTTTAGTAGATCACCTTTTTCTTGTTTTATCTATTTTATCTCTATTCATCGTTGAGTACCTCGCGCACTATAGATAAATTGGTGAAGATTTTTCCTTGATTACTATCACTCCTTGCAAATCTTCAAAATTTTTAATAATATATCTATATGTATGTATGTATGTATATATATTTGTGTGTGTGAGTGTGGGGTGCGTATGGGTGCGGGTCTGCTCGCAACACTATTTAACTCAACAAATTTTCAATTAGAAATTTATTTATCTTAGGGTTTTTTATCACCATATATGCTATAAAATTTTCTTATTAATTACCATTCCATATATAAACTTAACAAATAAATTAATAACAATATTCTCAATAGAATTAGCAACTTATTCCATGTTAATTTTTTTCTTATGTTGCTCTTAACAATCGATTTTGGAATAGTAATAACATCTCATTTTTTTAAATTTCCCTTCTATCACAATGAAATTTTGTCATTTAATTATTTTATTTTCCCTTGCAAGATATAATTTCGTAACTTGTAGTTTAATTTGAGTGGAAAATTTCCTTTTGAATCATTTTACAACTCTTTATCTATTATTATCTTCATCTACCTTGCTTTATGATAGTTCACACCATTCTTTATATCTTCAAAATTTCTTCTTTCCTTTTAGATTCATACAATGTAATGGTATTTATTTTCCTTTTTATCATGCCTACGAGTTATTTAGCCTTTTCAAGCTATATTTGTTTCAACAAATCCAATATTAGTTTTGGACTCAGTTAACTTTTTTTTTAATCGTACTTGGGTTAAGTTGTGCCTTGTTTAGCCCATATTTTTGTATTTTTCCTTACTTCATGTTAAGTTTAGCGGTGTCACTAACTGACACCCTCACCAACTTTTGTGCTCTTCTTAACTACCACTAGTTATATTGTAACACACTACTTATGAGATGTTTTAATACTAGTAAATATTACGTTTGGATTATTTCCTAGAATTTTAGCTTAGACTTTTGATTGGATATTAGTCCCAATATCTTATATATAGATATGGGGGTTCACACACGCGTGCGCACACACACACATATATCTATATATCACTTGAAACATATGAGTTTACATTTCTCCAACAACAAAAATTGAATTTACTAATGTAATACTTAAATGTTCATTAATGCTCAAAATAGCACTTCTTCAACATCCATTCACAGTTTGCAGCAACTCTGGCGAAGGTTGACAACACCTTTGTTCATAGCTTTTGTTCTCTCTCTCTCTCTCTCATTCTCATTTCGTCTAGTTGCAAACCAGCGAAGTCCTTTTAGGCTAAGAACTTTCTCACACGTTTTCTACCATAATCTATGCATACAATGTCTTTCTAGCAGCCGTAGTTGCTTCTACTTTCCTCGACGCATGTTGTATTCACAAGAACAAAACTCAACTATGCTTTTCAGCCAGTACTAATGGATTGTTCTACAATGACGAGAACAATGTTTATGAAGTAATTCAAGCAATTTATACTTGGAGACAATAAGTGAATGCAAAAAAAAAAGGGGGCAATTATTCAATTTTTACAAATTTTGTAGAGTTGCAAAAACAATATTTATTTCTAAGTTTATTCAATCAAACTAAAAAAAGTTATAGTAAACCAATCATTAGTCAAACCATGATTTGTAATTTCAATCAAACAAATGGAAACTAAGTGACGTGGGAGCTTACCGTGGATTACAATATTGTAGCTTCTACAGTACTGTGGAAACATATATCGTTGGAGGCCTCGAAATAACCTCATTTTTCATTCTTATGCTTTCTTTTCTATTATCCTTTATTCCTTTTTAGTCATTTTCTATATATGTGTTGTATTAGGGTTTGGAAATTCAGTTTTTATTGTATTTTATTTAGGACAGCCGTTGACGTCTGTTCTTCTCCTTTCGAGGTCTGTATCCAATTTATGGAGTGGTGCTCTGCGGGATCCCTCTCCAGAGGTAGTGATTATTGTTCCCTATCTCCTTCTGTCTCCTCTCATGTCCCTTCCGATCACTTCATCCATTTTGTAGCCGCCCGCACAACTTTCTGTAGCTGTCTTCCTTGCAGTTCTCCCTTTCCCCTTGTTGTCCTTGTTTCTTACATTCGCTGCTGCAGCTCGCAAACTCTTCCACTTGCTTTTTACTGCCAGAATCTACATCCATACCCAGCCTTCCTTGCTGCTCTCATCCTGGAAAGCCGTGCCACGTCGATATTAGCGTGCATGTGGAAGAGTTTGCGAGCTGTTATGACATGATTAATTACAACAATTACAATTTATCAAAGAGAACATAACTCAAGATTAAAAGAATTATAACATAATAAGAGGGGAATAAAAGAAAACAAAATTGAAATAGGAAACTTAGAATTCCACAGTTTCTTTTGTTGTTTTGGTGCTTCTGCTTTGTTTTGTGTATTTTGGATATTGTTTTTTTTTATTTCCTGCTCTAGGAGTGTTGTACCATCTTTCTTTTGCAAGTGGTAAATTTGTTTCTTGTTCAGAAAAAGGTAGTGAACCTCCTCGCTACCTGTTATGTGCTGTTTCATTGTCCGCCTCGCTGTTTTTAGGCGGGATAGCCGCCAAACAATCTAAATACGCTGTCCAACACTGTCGACCACCCCCTACTATCATTCCTTTGCTATTTCACAATCACATGTCCGTGAAAGGTATTTTTTAAAACACCTTCTAAGAGCTTTAGAACAATATTAGAGATATTTTTAGGGGAAAAGGGGGGTGGAAGGTGGGGTGGCCTAGAGAGTAAGTGGGAGAATAACATAAAATAGGCTATGAAATGCTCTCTTTGATTTTGGCGTAGTGATGTGCTCTTGGATGTGATTGTGGCTAACGAAGTTGTTGCGGCATGAGTCGCAGGAAAAACACTACGAGTGACTCAGCCCTCATGCAGGATAAGGGGTGATTTTTGTGATAGTTATGGGACTTTTGAGGCTCAAGTTTGGTTTCATGAATATTTGGGAGAAGGGTTTTTGTGCTTGAGGCTAGTGTTTAAAGATGAGCAACTACAACCTCAACGATTCTTTCTTCTTTTACCTTTTTTTATCAAATGAATTCTTTGGGTTTGGTCAGAAATCTAATATACGAGGAAAAAAAGTTATTCTTGCATTTAAAGGTTGCAAGTGCTGTTTATGACAAGTCTAAATAAAGAATTTAAAGCCTGCATATAAATGCTATATGTATAGTTAATAATTATTTAATCATGATGTGTTAGTTAATTAATGAATATAACTAATGATGATATTTTGCTTAAGTTATCAATTAACTGATCATAAAGATTAATCTTATTGATCTATTAATTCATGCTGAATAACACAATTATTCGGATAAAATTGGATGCCAACAATTAGATTTAACAACTATTTAATGTTATTCTTCTGTTTATCATATTCTTATAGATAGGTACCCATTAATCATCACAATGATGTGCCTTTATCCGTCACTTTGCAATTTTTAACCTGTATTGAAGAGTAACAAGCGTACTAAAACAAACATGGACAAGGAATGACACCCACCACAGCTTCTGCTAAAGTATATGTTCATAATGAAAAAAAGAAGTCATTATTATATAACTTCTCTTAAAGTTTTAATATACAAATTAAACGCCTAATTGTTTTGTTAACAATTAAAAATAATTTATTTTCTAAGATAAAATGCATAATCAAAATTGAAAAACATAATCATAAGTTTAAAATATATTAAAATTATTCTATTAGAAAAATTCTACATTAAAATTTAGGATTTAACTTTAACAAAGTTATGGTGACCAAGCAGGGCAAAGTGCATTATTATGCTAACAAGAGTTGGGAGGGGGCACTGGGGATTGATTCAAGTGATATTATAGGGTGATAATGATGGTAGAGAAGGATAACCCTGGGTCGAATTCTTCAGAGACATGGCGAGTGCTGGTTTCAGGAGCAGTAATGGGCGGGAGGTAGTGGCATCATGACATGCAGGACACTACAGCATCTCTAGAGAATTTGTAGTTGGCAAGTGTAAGGAAGAAGAAAGGACAAAGTGATATTTTATGGGAATAATGAAATGAGTAAAGCATATTTTTGCAGAAATTTTGCAAGATACAAGTAGGTTTTCCTTTAATTTTTTGTAGGTATAATGAAGATCCTTCTAAATTGTTTTATTAGAAATGAGTTCTTTGACTTTATCATGGACATATGCTAAAGAATTTGAAGAATAAACCTTTTTTACTTCGATAGAAAAAAGCTGTTGATCATGGTTCCATCTGAAATTCATATAGCAAAGGACACTTGTGGATTTTTCAGCAGAAAACTTCTATTGCGGACATTTTAAGTTAAATTATTTTTAATTGAAATTCTCTCAGAAATTTTGAAGGTAATTTTAATGGGAAGTTTCTGCAGAAAATTATACGCCAGTCTTGGAAACATAATATTTATCCCATTAAAAAGTGTGGTTTTTGGCTGTCATTTCCTTATCTTAAACTTAATTTCTTAAAAAATGTATAGGATGGCAAGTATGCTAACAAACTGCACAATCCAGTTAATGAATTGCATCATTGATGGCTGATGCTTAATCTTCATGTATTAATTTATATGGTTGGCAATCACATTTGTGCTGCTTAAGCTTCCATAAGGAATTGTTGAGACTTTCATGATATTCCACTGTTTTTTTTTTTTTTTTGTGAACACGCGAAGTAAATTTCTCTGCTGCATATTGATTGAGTTTTGGAATTTTTTTAATTTCTTGTCAATTATGTGTTCTGAATTTTCTTATAAGAAAATGGTGAAGCTAAATAGATTTTTATACATGTTTAAAGACTTGCATTCATACTTAAACATACAGGCTTGCTTTAAGGATATTTTTTGTTGAAGGGCAATCTTGAGTTTTGAAGAGCAATGAAATCAGATTTAAGCTTTGAAAAGCAATGATATCAGTTTGAGGATCTTCATTTTGAGATGCCTTGACATTTTTATTAGCTATATTTCAGTTGTATACCAGTGAAATATTTGGCAAATATTTGCGCATAAAGAAATCCTAGTTGACTGTGCTAGTTTGGAGAATGTTAAAATAAATGAGGTAAAATATAGAAAGTTGATTGTGAAAAATGATTTTGTTTGATAGTGGGTGTAGCACTTATTGAAGATAAGATAGCAAAAAATTCTCATTTGGTGTGAGTGTATACAACTGTGGGGATGATATGTGACAATAAGGTTAGCTGATAAAATTTATGTGATTGTATTTAAATGAAAAATGATTAAATCAATGGCAATTGGGGAGATGCAGTGCAAAAGGACTGGCATGTCAAGTCAAAACCTGATTTAGTCGTCACCTCATTTAGCACTTATCAGGAATGGATGTAGGAGGATTATAGTTTGGGTAGTTTTAGAGATGATGGACCGTTTTTCACCATTCCAGTTCTCAGTAAGGGTGGTTGTTGGATTTGTGAGTACGTCTTAAATATGTTCACGGGTAGCTGTGTAGTATTAGGATGCTAATCATTGTTTTCATGCGATGGATTTTGTCCCATTTTGCCCTTACGTTCTCTTCTCAGGTAGCAGCAAATAGAATGGATATAACCTGTTTTTTAGCGTCCATCTAATAAACCTATTTTTTTACTGTACTGTCACGCTAACTGGAAATTATGGTGCAGAAATTTTGCGGTTAACTGCAGTGTTGGGAAATGCATCCCTTTTAGAACATACTGGGGTTGAACATGGTAGCCCGATGACAAATGGAGGATTATTTTCAAATGGTGCAGCTGATATGAATGGATGGGCATCAGCAATTCAATCAGAAGTATGATGTTAGCATTTAACAGAATCCTTCTGTCGATCTGATTTATACTCTAAACTATCTGTCTGTTTTCTACCCTTTTGCTAACTTAATTCTATAGCTTATATAAACTTGTTAACTATTTAGATATCTTTCTTCATTAATGTGGCTACACAATTTTTTTAGTTTTCTTGCTATCAAAATGTATACTTGGTCTATTTATTCGTTGGTTTTATGTAGTTTATTTTGTCACTTCAATTGCAGATACTGATTCCTTTTTAGTTCATTGCTACCTTTGTATTTGTTTTGATTAAAAAATTATACTCTGTTAATGGCTAAGTTTGAAAATGTAATAATGAAAATGTCATGTTTTATTTAGTGTTCCAACATCATACTGTTTCTTAACGTTGTGAATACATATTTCCGTACAAGGTTATAGTCTCAAAATTTCGGTGTAGTTTTGTTTCTGTTTTTAATTTCTGCCTTATAATCCCCATCGTCAATGTGTTAGCTGTCTACTATCAATTTCAGTATGACTGGCTTACAAGAAATTGGTTGTATTTTGCAGATGCTTGAAAGTGACAAATAGATCTAACTTTATTGTTCTTAAATTTTAATGGTTACAAGTATCAATCTTTCTGTAACTCATCTTTACTTTTCTGTTTCATCAAATTTTCCTAAAATTTACCATTTCTTAAGTGTTTATATCATTCTTTTCATTTTCACCTTTTTTTGTATTCCTCATTCCAGCCTTTAATACATGCTGATACAATACATTATGTTTCAACTTTTTTCATTTTTGAGCTATCTTTTTCTCACTTATTATCCTTGCTTCAAAGTATTTCAGCATTAAGCCTGTTTGCTTGATGCTCTGCCTTTTGCAGTATTTGATTTCATAGCCGGCATTTTAAATTTTGTTTTAAAATTATTTATGAATTAAACATCTATTCTCTTATCCTTTCCGAACACAATTTTCTTTTATCCCAATTCATTTTGAATCTTTGACTGCCTTCACTTACAGCAGCTAGCAGAAGTGCATTGTATAATATTTTTATTCGTTTAGTCTTCTTTCGTAAGCATACCTCTTTTGGCACCCACTGAAGCTGCGTGATGTCCACCTAACTTATCAATTTTAGTGGTCCTACACACTATTTTGTTTCCACCGAAGATGCATGGTATTTGCCTTATTTTTGATGTTTTTGATTCCATAGTTTTCATCTAGGTCCATCTTCTATACGTTAACAAAAAAAAAAAAAAAATATCGGATTGATGTTAGACTAATGCCAAATTCTCTGCGCACTTCTAACTCTCATGCATGTACTTTGTTGCAATATTCTTTATGAATTTGTTCTGCAGTCAAACTTCTTTTGTGCTCTTTGCGGAAACAATTTGGGGTGTAAGAAAACTATCACCACATGTTTGTATAATTTGACTCACATGTACATTGATTGTATAATTGTGCTTGCTTAGAATAGGCTTATGATGAGCATTTTCATGATCAAGCATAAAAATTTTCAAAGATTGTGCAAATTATTCTCCCCTCAATGCAACAAGTTGTTAGTTCTACAAAGCTATGGGTCGAGAACTAGTAAGAATTTTTAAGAGATTCATGCAAGTACACCCATCGATAGAGCTGATGCATGCATGTGATCCCAATTTAATGCATGATCTCCATCCTACCAACATATCGGTTGTCCTATTGTTTTTTTTACTTCAGTTAGATCATCAGCATAACCATAATATGTAGAAAATTAAAGTTTAATGTACATATTTTTTGTACTTTTTTTTTCTAGAAATAATATGTAAATCTAACATTTTTGTGAGTGCAAATTGTTTTTTAAGGTCATGTTGACTTAAAACTTCTTCAAAGAATAGTTGGAATGCATGTGAAGCATTCGTAATTTTCTTGCTTGAAAGAAAAAATGTCATTTTAGAAAAAATTATACACGATACTGAAACTAGAATTTGTTCTTTCTAGTAATATGTGTTAAACCAAGGACATTGTTCAGGCTAATGTCTTATGAGCTTGTGTGGCGTATGTAAGTGTGCATGCAAGCCTATGTTGTGTCATTGTACTTTTAGCTAGATGACAAGTATGACGTACATTGCTACTTCTGTGCCCATTACATTTTAAAGTGGACCAAATATTAAGACCTGTTATTGCTACTTAATTGTCCATATCAAAATTGGCTATACTGTCTTTCAAATTCATTGCCACCGAGAAAATCTCATAAAGATTTAAGAAAACACAAGAGTATGTCTAACATGAATCATCTTAAATGAAATTACTTCACGAATGTGTGAAGTACTTAAAGAAAACGACGAACCTTGGCAATATCTGGGCTAGTAGGATTATAAAATATAAATTTACTATAGGGAGTCAACCTAACACCATTAATTTGTACACTGGTGCTTATTTTCTTAAATGCAACTGTATGTTTATTCTCAACGTTTGCATATTGTTCCATGGAGAAGTTTTTTTTTAGAAACTCTACCCATTTATTATATGAATGTTTTGTTTTTTTCTTCCCAAGCATTAAGAATGATTATATGGTTGATGGTCAAGAATTAAATTAAATTTCCTGTGTTGCAAGTAATGCCTCTAATATTGAAGACCATATACATGGATTTATAACTCTTTATTTTAGTTAAAATATTTACTGCTTCATTCAATTTCCTACAAAGTTATGCTACTAGATAACCAACCTCTCAATGCTTTTCTTATGCCAAGACTAGATGAATAATTAATCCACCTCAGGAGCTTAGTAAGGTTAAAGACGAGAGTTTTTCAAGAGCATTTCAAGTTTTGAAAATCTCAGGCGGCATTTTTTGACCAATGAATTTCTCTATTTAAGAAAGCTAGCAATGAGTGCAACGGTTGCTCAAAATTTTGAATCTTATAGAATGTTTCCAAAACATGAATTCTCTTAAATTTATGTCTACCCTTTAGGGTGATTTAAAGTCCCTTTACATATACAAATCATTCTTTTCCTCAATCCTATCACTAGAAACTTCTGTGACCACCTCTTAATATTTTTTATTTATCTCACTAATTTCTTTTTTATATTGAGTGATAGAGATTTTTATATTTTTCTTTATTTCGTACAGTTTTGTTGCTGATCATTTTGGCTAGTTCTGCTTCCATCAGCCCCAAATCATTACACAAGTCACAACTTCTTTTTACATGAGCCTGCCCTATAATCAATTTGTTCTTTTGCATCTCTATCATAAAACCTTAAATTCTAATTTTCTGCATGTTTCATAAGCCTTTCACTCTACTAAATTTGGATTATTCTATACTGAATATGTTGATCCTCCAAATGCTGAAAATCCCATATGTTGTCATGGAAAATAAACTTTCTTTTGTCTTCCGAGGTTGAATTTTTTGCACACAAGGAAGTGGGAGGGCTCAATTAGAGAAGGAAAATGGTATGTTGTGGCTAGTAATTAATTTGGTAGAAAATAATGGTGAGGTGTTATCATTTTTGAATCGAAGATTAAGTACTAGTTTCGTTGAATTTGGACTTTATGTAGTGATCAAGGGTACCTAATAATTAGTCATGTAACTTTTTAGGTTTTTGTTTTTACAAGGTAGGAATCTATTCAAAATTTTTGTTAGCTTAAGGTAACTGTGTCTGTAAGATGGGCGCAAGGCCAAAGATTGATATTATCAAATCTATGTTGGATCTAGAGAAATTTATCATAATTGTGTCAGTTAAGATTAATGCTTTTGATTTCAACGTTAGTGACAAAAAGTATGCTATCTGAGCTATGGCTCTTTTATTGGAATTTTTTATGTAAGATTTTGAGTGGAGATTGGTTTAGGGTTCTAATTTGAGTGAAAATTATTAACTAACTTATTTGGAAATGTTTTTAGAAGTTTGTTAGGAATACAAAGTTTAAAAGTGGTTTGGTTTGTTGGAGTTGATTGCTGTGAAGGTATTTTTTGATCCTTTTTCTTATTAGTTGGAGAGAGAGGGAGAGCATGGGGGGAGAGAGAAAGGGTTCAGAAGGAGATTGGGTGACAAGGGGAAGGGTTATATCGTGCCAAGAAATAGGAGGGTAATTTGCATTTAATAATAATAATATGAATAGAGGAAAATTTGGGGTTTGATTCCAACGATTCCTATTCATGAGCCCCACAGTTGGAATTAAAACCCTCACAAACAAAAATGAAAGATTCATTAAATTCAATCTTTTGTGTCAAATTATTATTATAGACGATTGAGTTCAGGTTTATAATTGAGTTTAACCAAAAATCTAACAAAGGATTAAGCTGTTTTTTTGGAATCTGGAACTGATAGGATTTTTCAATCCAAATTTACCTTTCATCCTTAGATATAGACTAATAATTTGTTATAACATACAAGAATAATTGGGTTACAAAGGGAAGGGTTATATCGTGCCAAGAAAGAGGAGGGTAATTTGCATTTAATAATAATAATATGAATCCTTTGTATCTCTGCCTTATTCATAGTTTATGAAATAGAGAACTGAGACATGTAAACTGAGAGGAAAATTTGGGGTTTGATTCCAACTATTCCTATTCATGGGCCCCACAGTTGGAATTAAAACCCTCACAAACAAAAATGAAAGACTCATTAAATTCAATCTTTTGTATCAAATTATTATTATAGACGATTGAGTTCAGGTTTATAATTGAGTTTAACCAAAAATCTAACAAAGGATTAAGCTGTTTTTTTGGAATCTGGAACTGATAGGATTTTTTCATCCAAATTTACCTTTCATCCTTAGATATAAACTAATAATTTGTTATAACATACAAGAATTGATTTTGAACCTTTTGATGACCCTGTTATTAGCTACAATGCTCGGATCATACCTTACATTTAGTCCCAGAAGTCAAGACGGACTCTCATTCTCCATCATGTTATATGGAATTATTTTCGTTTAATATGATTGAACATATGTTTATTCCTCAAAGATCTTATGGTACATTCAACTAGATTATGTGAATGTTAAAAGATTTGTCCGTAACAAAAGTAGATAAATAAAATTGAAATAGTACAGAAAGATCCTTCTTCAAGACTCAGCATGAAATGACACGGTATAGCCATTTTATATATCTAAAGGCTATTTTTTTTTTATGTCTGAATATAATGTAGGTTATTATTCTGAGTCAAGTCAGTCATTTATCCAATTTGTTTTTTTTAGTGAACTCCAATCACTGTTTCATTGATTCCCTTTTTTTTCCTTGTCATCTTAATAATTTTTTCCATCTCATTTTGTTAGCTCTTAGAGAAATGTCAACTTACAACGTTATGTGGCAAAGAAATCTCTAAGGCAGAGCTCGCCACATGTTACCTTTAAAAAAAAAAACCTGGATCTGTTTCTTCAATGCTTGTCATCTATTAGAGATGTATTCTGGTATCCATGGGGCATCTATCGTACAGATTCTTGTTTCTGAATGTGCATTAGGTGGATGTATATTCTTAAACCTTTGCCTTTTTATGCTTCTCTAATCTAGATTCATTGTTTTTCATGCTGCGTTTGAGGATTCTGCTATTAGTAACTACCATTACAGCTTAATTAGGGCTGCTGAGCTTCTTTAATTTGCCTTTGATTTTTGGTTTCAGTCAGTAGCTCGTGAATAGAGTTTGCTATACTCATGTTCTTTTTTATTTTTCCTAGTATTCCTTGAATGCAGTTGCCTAATATTCATGGACTTCTGCTTGCAGTTTGATAATCTGAAACCAATCTTTTGTTTAGAGGTGTATGCTTTTTGAAAGTCAATAGTGGTGTCACTATGATTATTTTTGTAATTTATTTGCCTTTCTTAATTCCTTTCTTTTGTTCAGCATGCTAGTTTTAACATTTGGTGGTTGGCAATTTTGCAGCACTCCCCGGCACATAGTTGGCTTGGTTCTCAAGGAACTTCTGGTATCGACATCTAGAAAAGAATTAGGGTGGATATTCCGGTGGACAAGTATCCAACAGTATGATCTTAATTGAGCTTTTTGTTTACTGGATTTGTTTCTACCAAGGTTAATATGAATTTTTTCTTTTATTTTTTGTTTTTTTTTCTCAGTACAACTTTGTTGGGCGTCTACTTGGTCCTAGAGGAAATTCTCTTAAAAGATTAGAAGCTACAACTGACTGCCGTGTCCTGATTAGAGGACGAGGTAGCATCAAAGATCCTACTCGGGTAATTATGCTTCAACCAACTTGTATAATTTCTCAGAAGTCTATCTTGCCTGTACACTGTTGCATAATTTACTTGAAGTATTATGTCCATAAAGGTGAAATCATTGGAAATCCATTCTGATATTGATCATGCTGGTCCTTATGCGTATCATACATATTGTGCATGAACGTCTTGTCAATCTTTAACCTGACATTTGAGATTAGCTTACAATAATATTCGTTTTGTTTTTGTGCAGCTGAGTCACAGTTTAAAAACAATAGATACACTACTTCAAAAAATGATATCAATTTATCTTACATTAGTTTATATGACTTACGTAAACTGTCATTTTGTTACTATTTCCATAAATTATATTTTATATTGCGATGTTCAAATTGCATTCACAGTTGTATTGTTACTGATTATTTCTGGGTCTCTTGAGATGTGCTCTTGGCACTGTTGCTTTGACACTACTGCCAGATATCCTGTTGTATAATTTGGGAGGCTGGTATTCATCTTGTGACTCTCATGCTAGCCATCACAGTGTTGACTGAAGCTTGGTCATCATTTTGGGTGCTAGTAAATAACATGCTACATGTGGATGCATCATACAATTTACACTAGTTTGAGTTGCTTTCCACACTTCAGTTGTCAGAATTATATTTATCACAGTTCGGAATGCCCTATTAAACACCAACACATTGATTTGAGTTAGAAGTTTGACTTAATAGCCATATATTTTAGGCCTTTTCTTTGTTCCATTCAATTAAAGATGATTGTTTAGTTTGCTGAAGAGGGTATTGAACTTATTAGCTTAGGAACTTGTTTCAGTATTATAGATAATAATATGTTAGGCAGACTCACAATGAAGGGGATTTTTTGTGCCAGAGGAATTAACCAAAAATGTATAGTTAGCAAAATTGTGATAATTTTTCATTAATTTTGAGAAGACATAATTAAGATGATTTGTAGCATATAAAATGAAATGAGTTAATGTTATTCTTTGGTTATTATAAGTATGTAAAACAGAGCATTAACTAGCATTAAGAATTGTTGATCGACCAAAGAATTGTCAATCATATTAAATTTCTTGATGGTTCAGTAATAACTCTATGTTTGGTTGTATTGGTTATGGAGGTACATGCAAATTCAAAATGAGGTACCTTTTTATTTGTTATTTATAGATGGCATGGTTCTAGTAGGCTTGTCCTTTTCTTCTCAGCTTTATTACTGTTTTTTAATTTTAGTTATTGGGCTGCTCGTGTTAGTGAATTTTCTCAAATATGGTTTAATTTGAATTTTTTTTATCATGATGAGAGTTTCTCATTGAACACATAATTATTTTATAATTCTGAATTTTATGTGAGAATTTTTTAAATTTATTATTTAGATAGGTTTTTCTTTATTGCTTGCTTTCATCTATATACATAATTAGCTGTTTAAAATTAATAGTATGTGAACTATGAATTTAACTTGTTTGATGAAATTGTCCTTATCATCCTATATCTTTATACAAAACCCTCGATGCCATGACCTATCTTGATAGTTTAGAATTTACACTGCGGAATTAGATTGTCGAATCGTGAAATTTGAATTTTTTATTTCTAATACTATCACTAACTAATCAATAGAATTTTCTAAATTATAGAAAGATCCCCTAACAAAAAATAAAAAATAAAATAAAAATAAAATAATTAAATATTAATTTGTTTTTTTATTGTTGGTTACGTTTTCTATACACATTTCCCTTTCTTTCGTTCATTTTAAAGCTTCATATTTAAACTAAAAAATGCTAGATATAAAATACGATTAGCTATTTACAAGCCAATGAATACACATACTTCTAAGCTACAATAGTATATTGAAAAAAAAAATTGTGCTTGTCAAAATACTATAAATCTATGACAGTTTAATACTCAAATATGACCCTTATGATAATTCACACCATTCATGATACAGTTCTATATTGTACTTTATTGTTCATAGATGACACCATAAAGACTGAATTTCATTTGTTAATTATATACATGCAAACATTCTATATAGATCATTTTTTTTTTGCATTCTATACTATGATGCACAAACTCTTTTGACCAAAGAGCCATGCAAAGTCTGTCACTTCTCGGACACCGACACTCATCAAACATGCCCCAAACATGTGCAGGACACATCCATGACGTGTACAATTTTAATAATATTAAAATTAAAATGGGACCCACATGTTTTAAATTAGTGTATTATAAATTTTTAAAAATATTTTTTAAGCTTCTATGGTTTATTTTTTACAAGTAAAATTAAAAATATTAATTTTTTATTTTAAGGTTGAACATTGTTAGGCTTATTCATCTGATTCCTTTTCTCACAAACGAGCTCGAGGGGTTTGCCAATCGCTCACTTAGGCTGGTATTTATCATCTTTGCAGTATCAAGATATCTAGACAAATATCTTTCTAATACAATTGATTTAGAAGAAATATAATATTATTTTCCTAATTTACAGTAAGAGTACTCATCTTAATATTTAATTTGCTAATACTGTTTCTTGATTTGCACCTTGTTCTTAACCCAACAAACTTTCTTACTCCAATCAAAGAGTAAAACACCTGTGAAATATAATTATTTTAAAATTTCTTTTTCAATTTAACTAACTTTGCTAGCCTTTTTTTTTCAAACCTAAAAAAAAATATTTTAAATTTTTTTATTTTAACTAGACTATCTATATTTATTATAAATAATTTATTTTCATTAAATTTTTAAGAAAATAATAACCTTTTCTTAAAACAACAACATATTTTTACCTAATATGGAAACTATAAACAAATCTCTAATTTATAAAATTTTAAAATTATATATAATATAGCATTATACTTTAACTTAACAAATTAAATTATTTCTTCAAATCCACAATTTATTATTTATCTTTAACAAATTTAAGTTTCCATCCCATGCTATCTCCTGCCATAGTGTCTATTCGTCTATGAAATTACGCACGAGATATACCCTATTCACCTCTGTTTCAGCTGCAAACTGCACAATCCTTTCTCTTGTTTGTTCTCTCGTATCTACCTGGCCCCCCAAGGCCTTTCTCTATCACACGAAGATGTCTCTCTCTTCGCTTTGTTTATCTGCCTTGCCTCTTTTATATCTCAATTTGATTTGATGCAGGGGACCCGTATCTCTAAATAGTAGAACCACACCTTTTATTCGCTTTATCATTTTATAATATGATAAAACCGCATGCTGTTTCTCTTGCTTCCTCTTCCTATTCATTTCTTCCACTTCATCTTGTCTAATTGAAGTGGTGTTAATCGGTTCCTAAATTCTCTGGTGTTACACTAGAACTAAAGGCATTTTGCATCGACCATTTTCATTTTGGTTGATACGACAAATACCATTGACATGGTGAGTGTCATTGATTGTCATTGCTGATACTTCCTTCCTTGCAAATATGCCATGCTTCAGGCTCATAGTCACCCTTTTACTCCTAGCTATGGTACTCTTCATCTCTCATTCCCCTTGCAACATCATCAAGTTCTTATTTCTTTGCATTGCCACTCAAAATTGTTCTCATTTCTTCTAACACTAATAATTTTCCTGTAATTCTCCAAAGAGCTAGAAGAGGATAAGATTATTAAGGTTGGCACTGTTTCATTTAATGTTCTTTCTCTCTTCGCATCTCACGAGCTCTTTATTTCATGCTCGTGCTTCAACTTGATTTTGGCTTTGCTTATGCTTCTTACTCCCCTGTTGACATAACCCCGTAAATATCTGAGCGATTTTGACAATTCTTTTTTGCATTTAACCACAGCTTTTGTATTCTAATATTTTTGAGGAATTACAATGTAACAACATTTTTATAATTTATATTTTTGATACAAGCATCACAACAACTTGTTTCTATTCATCCCATTCCTTTTCCAGCTATTTTCATGGTGTTTAGGCTCAATGGCCCATTGCCCACCATACACTAAATCTGAAGGTTAGAATACAAAGTCTTTAGCTTGCATGCATTCTGACTTTGGAACTTACCGTTTCATTTTCAGGTTTTCCGCAGTTCTTTGCTTGCCTCAACATAATGTCTCATTTAATTTTGATCGTATATACAGTTATTTCCTACATATCTGATGCATGCCAGATATGTATGATGATAAATTCTTTATTTTAGTTGCCTAAATTCCATCTTTATTCTGTCATTCTGAAAGCTGTTTCGACCTATATGGAGTAGAGTAGTTAATACATCAAGATATTAACTTTGGTGGCTATAAGAGCTAATTTCTATGCTAGTTGATAAGCAGATACCGAACTATTCCCAAGTCAGGTGGCTATAACAAACCAACTGCTTGAAGCCAAAATTTAAAATTTTTTGAATGGTGGATGTATGCATGTTTACCATTCTCTTAACCATTTTTTAAAAAAACTTTTGAATATATATATATATATATATATATATATATATAGAGAGAGAGAGAGAGAGAGAGAGAGAGAGAGATACAGTTTATACTCCTCATATTACGATCTGAACTTGTTATGCTGTGTATCTTAGATATGCTGCTAATAAAGATTTGCACAACAGGAGGAGATGATGAGAGGAAAACCAGGGTATGAACATTTAAATGAGCCCCTTCACATACTAATCGAAGCAGAGTTGCCAGTAGAAATCATCGATGCTCGCCTGATTCAAGCTCATGATATTCTCACGGAGCTGATCAAACCTGTCGTAAGCATTTTTCTTTCTTTTTTTAAAAAAATATTCTTATCTTTAAATGTAAACAACTTTGCCATTTCACTTTGCCCTGAATTCTCTGATTTTCACAAACAGGATGAATCACAAGATTTCATAAAAAAGCAGCAGCTCAGAGAACTAGCAATGCTTAATGGCACTCTCCGTGAAGAAGGCTCGCACATGTCTGGCTCTGTATCCCCTTTCAATAACAGCCTCGGCATGAAGAGAGCAAAGACAAGGGGGTAAAGTTGGGCATTTATATATGGTGGCAGTCCATGTTGTTGTCCTTCTACATTTAAAATCCGTTGGCAATTGTCATGTGTTGGGGGTTTGCCATGCTGGCTTATGCTCAGGCCTCAGATGCCATCGGAAGGCATGGGTTCTGGCGCGTCGGTCTAATTGAGTCTAAAAGTGTCTTGATGGATACTTGTCTCGCCATGATATCTTCGGTTAGTTATCCCTGATTTATCATGGCAGCTTGGCCATATATCTACATATAGGCCTTGCAATATAATCCTCAATATGACAATGTTTGTTTTAGTTTGGGGTTATATGGTAAAAAAAAAAATAAATTTGGTGAGGTTGTGTATAAACTACTGGAAGAAGATGATGCGCCTTAGCAGGTTTTGGTAGAAGCAAACTTTTCTAATTAATCAAGTCTTAATTTATTATTTTCTTGCTTGTAAATATTCATCTGCATTCCCTTCTCCATTTTCTTTGGTGGTTCTTTCTGCTGCTTTTGTTTTTTTATCAGAATCTTAGGCCCATAAATGAGGAAAAATTATTCTGTCCGACGATCACATGTGCTCTACATGCGGTAGCGAATGAAAAATTAACACGTGTAATGATGGGCTCTCAGTGAAGAGAAATAAGCAGAAAGCGTGACCCGACCCGAACTCCGCCCAATAACCGGAAAAAGCGTATATTTGGATTTATGGAATCGCGCCAAATCTAGCATTTTGACATTTTCGATCCCGTCAAAGATTATTGGTGTCTTATGGATGTAGATTTTTTTTATTTTCTCATATGTTAGTATTCGACTGGTAGGACAGAATTCTTATTCTATGCCGACACCACATTAAATGGATTTCTCATTCGACCAAGAAATGTTGATGGAATCTCAGAATGATGGCGATCAACTTGGATCATTAGCTGCGTCCGGAAGTATTCCTCAGGTAGAGTTCTTTCTTTGTTCTGTGTGCTGCTATTAATGGCTTCCAAATGATAGTATTGCTGGGTTCGGCTGGTGTGATTACTATATTATTTGATTGTTAAGTTAATTTGTAAGTGTTATCATTGTGTTTAAGTTGTCGTAATGATATTATCTTTCTGGTATTATTGTGGTTGATATTGTTTTTTCTGATATCATTGGAGTCTTATTTAGGTATTATCATGGGTTTATTATGGTGTTATTATGATTGTATTATGGTAGTATTTTTGCATTATAGATTTTCAAGAGTGTGTTATTATGATATTATTATTGTAGTATTATGGTTGTATTACATATTATGGTGTTATTTATTGTTGTATCTAATTAGTGTTTTTAACAGTGTTATGTTTGGTGTAAGTAGTGTTATATGGTGTTATCATAATTTTATTATGCTAGTATTTTTATATTTTTGTCTTTGAAGTATACTTTTGTGTTATTATGATATTATTTATGTGGTATTATGATTGTATTATGTTATTGATTTATCGTTACGTACCAACATGATTGTATTTACTAATTGGTTACGATGAAGTGTTCTTTTGTCAATCTAATGGTGGAATGTTTGAAAGTTGCAGCTCCCCGAGCTTTTAACTATGTGCATTGATCCAAATGCGGATAGTTTGCTTCGCGCGGTGGTTCATAATGAGAAGAAAGCCTACCAAAATTATTGTGCATATGCACACCATATTTGATTCACTATGCGAAAGGACAATGTTGGTTTTTGGCCTAATTCAAAAATGATTAAGACAAGATTTCATTTGTGGTAAGGTTGGTTTCAAGAAAGAATTGAATAATAATGTGGCGGGGAAGTACAGAAGAGGGGACACAAGGACTGGTTGTCCAGCCATGATCCGATATGTCGTCGATGTAGAAGGTAACTGGTCGGTTAAGAAATATATAAAAACTCATAACCATCCTTTGGCGACAGACGGTGACAAACATTTATTGCGTTCTAGCAGAGAAATGAGCGATGTCAGTGCACAAGTGTTCAGATCGATGACAAAACGGACTAGTTGTCCAGCTATGATCCGATATGTCGTCGATGTAGAAGGTAACTGGTCGGTTAAGAAATATATAGAAACTCATAACCATCCTTTGGCAGCAGACAGTGACAAACATCTATTGCGTTCCAGCAGAGAAATGAGCGATGTCAGTGCACAAGTGTTCAGATCGATGACAAAATCTGGGATAAGAATAAGCGATGTCTTTAGTTTTCTGGCTACAGAATTTGGGGGTGTTGAAAATCTTAATTGCACGAAGATGGATGCTTATAATTTCATACAAAAAGAGAAAAAGAGTATAATTGAAAATGAGGACGCTAATTCTCTATTTAGATTGTTCACTGAGAGACAAGCAGAGGATACGATGTTGGCATGGGACGTCCAAATTGATGAGTCTGATAGTTTATTGAATTTCTTTTGGAGTGATGGGATATCAAGACTTGATTACGATTGCTTTGGGGATGTCATAATATTTGACACAAGTTATAGATTAAATAAATACAATTTATGTTGTGCTCCTATTGTCGGTGTGAATCACCACTAGCAGAACGTTCTATTTCGAGTTGGCTTTTTGTCAGATGAAACAGTTGAATCATTCAAGTGACTATTCAAATTATTTATTCGGATTATGGACAACAAGCACCAGATGACAATATTCACTGATCAGGATAAGCAATGACCAGAGTCATTGAAGAGTGCCTTCCGCACACAAGACATAGATTATGCCAATGACATATTTACAAGAAATTATCTTCAAAACTACATTGTGGTGTAATCACTAAGAAAGTCAATGAGTTTTTTTATAAATGCATGGTTAGGTGTAACTCTGAGGAGTTTGAAGAAACTTGACATACAATGATTGTGTTAGGAAATCTATATGAGAATGCTTGGTTGATTAGCTTGTACAATATCAGACATAAGTGGTCAACAACTTTCAATAAGGAAATATTTGAGATGGAGATCCTTTCAACACAAAGGAGTGTGTCGACGAATAACATTTGTCATAATGCCTCTAAGCCAACAAACACCATCACTGAGAGTTTCTTGGGTCTTGAAAATGTCATGAAAGCTTGGAAAAGAAATGAGAGGGATGAAGATTTTAAATCTGAACAGTCTGCAATTGTCCTCGCTGTAAAAAGTAGTCCTGTGTTGAGGCAAGGGGCTTTAGTTTATACGAGGAAGCTATATTCAATGTTTGAAGCAGAGTTGTTACATGGTATGTGTAGTCTTGCTGTGGAGTGCTCAGCCACTTCAAATTCAGAATTTTATGTTAGAAACTTAGATAATGAGCACACAGTCAGACTGTGGATTGTTAAGGTCGATAAAGGTAATTCTGAGATTACATGCAGTTGTAAAAAATTTGAAATGATGGGAATCTTATGTGCTCACACTCTAAGAGTGTTTAACCATGAGAATATAACAAAGATCCCTGATAAATATATTTTACTGCGGTGGTCGGTCATGCAAAGAGGGATATATATAACAACTATGGTTATAAATATTTGAAAGATTCTCAAACTTCAGCAACTTGTTCGAGTGGTCTCATATATCAGACCCACGTTCATAAATTTGCATACCGGATCAGCATATTAACTCAAGGTAATGAACTTGCTGAAAAAAACGTGCTGGAAATATTATCGAAGTAATATTGAATGGGAAAAAACTTCAGGAAATGCCAATGTCAAAGAAGAAAAAAACAC